TTATTAATTATGAAATAATGCGCGTAATTAGGCATTTTTGGTTATACGAAAAAGTAGCTTGAATTAACTTAAAGAATTATTTCATCTAAATTAAACTTATTAAGAAAATGTATACACAACTTTACGTTCGTATATTTTCTCTAAAATAATTACTAAAAATTTATAATATATTATATTTGTTAGTGTATTATATATTTAAGTATTGTACTCCGTTATTCATGTACTTTATTATTATTAATGTAATATTGAAATAGAAAGTTAAGTTTCGATTTATCTTTCATTAATATGAACTTTATATATTTTAGATGAATAACTTTAATTTATTTCTAAGCATTAAATTTTAACAATGTAATATTGAATTTCAAGAGAATATTTTTTGTTCAAATGGTAAATTCCATTAATTAACGAAAATATTTTATAAATAAGTTTATATTAAATATTTATTAATAATTTATTTATACATGACGTATATATTCATTATGCTGATTTTTATGTTGTTTAGTGGGAAATATTTTAAAAAATTGTGACTAAAATTTGAACCGAAATAAAGCTAAGCATATGTAAGCCCTTTATTAAAATTTAATTAATTTATTCGTATATTAAGCTTTTCATAATTGCTTTGTCGGATTCCTAACGAGACACGAGATAAATGGTTTCATCAGATTATATTATAATATCACCAAGTACCGAATTGAAAAAAGAAATCATTTGCTGATTACTAATTACACTCTTTGATTATATTAGCAATATACATAGATATTGAATAAATATTTAAAATCCGTTACTTTATAGACTTTCATAATAAATCGGCGTTCAATAAAAAATTAGTATTTTAATCGATGACCTTTACAAACTTACACCTGTATTCTAAATATTTTAAATAGCAATTCAGAATTGAGGAAATATGCGTGGTCAAGTTGCATAAGACAAAATTCCTTGGCTCAAGAAATATAAATAATTAATATAAATATCTTCTTATTAATTACCTTCTTATTAAACTATTGTATTTTATAATATATAATTTCAAAAGCTTACATTAAATTTTTAATTCATTGATTCACAAAAAAATAATTAATTTATGGGGCACTGTAAGCTTTTTATATCTGATATAAACAGTAGTATTTATAGCAAAAAAAAAAAAAAAAAAAAAAAAAAAAAAAAAAAAATTAGATTCAATAAGCAAGCAACGTTAAAAATTTGTAATTTCGACAAAAAAAATTTATTTTTTGAATATCTGCACTTCAGATTCTATAATATCCTAGCATTTTTTTTTGTTTTTTGTTTGTTTGTTTGTTTGTTTGTTTTTTTGTTTTTTTTTTTTTTTGATTTGTTATCTAGATATACATGTTACCTGACGATGAATATTTTTATTGTTAAAAATGTTAACATCTTCATCAACTTTTGTTTAATTCGCGATTTAATAAATCTTAACAACCTAATAAATAAAGTCATCATATACGTATCAATTATAAAATTAATATTTATATTTATAGTCTATTGAAATATGTTTATCACAATGTATTTGTATTTTCAAGCTTATATACCTATTAATCTTGAATTTTATTGCGCAAGATATTGTAAATTTGCTTTTTTACGCAAGATTCGTAAATCGGTCAATTGATAGTTTACCATTTCGTAACTTTGCTTATAACTTTATCGAATTCTGTCACGTGACTATAATCTGCAATTTCATTTTTCTTTCATTTTTTTTTCAAGTTTCAACGTATCCAAAACGATAAATAGATACTTGTAGGAGTACACACAGATTCGACCCTTTAATTCTATTTTGTCTCTTTGGCATTAAATAAAGCATTTTCTAATCTAAATCTGATTATGGTTTACGATTATATGGTACAGTATGGCGCATAATAGTATTAGACTACTATTTAATTCAGATAAATTACATTAAAAAAAAAAAAAAAAAAAAAAAAAAAATAAATTTCTACATGACAGTTATTTGAGAAAATTTAGTAATACGTAAAATATATTTACACTTATTTAATAAAAGATTTATTTAAATTATTAAGTTATTTTTTGCTTTCAAAACAGTAATATGTTTGTATTTGAGAATTACAAAACTTATATTTTTATTATTTTCAATTCAATGAAAAAGTTTACTTTAATCGATAAATCGATGTAAGTCATTAGATAGCCTCGTTCAAATTATTTAAAATAATATCTCTATATAAAGCAAAAAGATTTTCAATCAGTTGCATTAATTTTTTATTCTTTGCTCTACATTGCGTATATGTAACTGTATAAATAAAATTCATATTATAAATTTAGAATATAAATAATATATATTACTTTACCAACAATCTCTTGGTATTTTTAATATATAAAAAATACATTACTAAATTTAGAAAATACTAAAAGAAAATTCGCATATTTATATAAATGCGCTAACAAAATAGCAGAATATTTTGTGTATCTGGCCCCTACAAAATACTGCTTCGCGCCAGTTTATTTAACAACTACAGTCCAACTACTAAGTTATTGAAAGTTGTTGCATTCACATTAAATGCACATTCGCTGAGTGATAACGTTGCCTGACTTATATTAACACTTTCATCCGATTTGAGTTGATCGTTAAAAGCGCATTGAGAGGGGTAGAGTATAAATTGGCACTCATATCAGCATCGTACACACATAGATAAATAGCGATTTATCAAAGTCCTACAGTACTATATATATTCGATTGGAAGATGTTTGTTTTGCGGTTAGTTCTTTTGCAACTTTTGCGAAATAAGCGCGTTTTTTTTTTAATACCGGGATACCGTTTTTAGAATTGATGATTCATGTAAAATGCGTATGTGGTAAACATTTACCACTCAATAATAACGCCACTTAATTTTAGTAAAAAAAAAAAAAAATATATATATATATTATTTATTAATAATAGTTATAAATATATGGACTGATTATTAAAGTTTTTAATATATTTCAAATAGTATAATTTGTAATTTTTATTTGAATTTGATCTGTATTGATAATGTACAATAAAATTAAAAAAAAATTATTAATGAAATATTTAGTTTATATTGAAAAATAATCTAAAACTGCTAATACGTACGTTATATTTTGTTTACAAATATTATTTCTTTAATTTATTCAGTGAAGAATAAACTTTTAATATTTTAATATATATATATATATATATATATATATATATATATACGCGAATAATGCTCAATAAAAAAATTTTATTACATTTATATTATAATCTAATAAAGATATATTTTAAAATTTTCTTAAAATTCGAAATCGTTATTTTTACAAATTAAATATTTCTATAATTTCATAAACTCTGCATAAACTTGTAATGTAAAATATTTAAACATAAATTATATATAATATATACTTGTTCGAAAGATAAATTAATTTTTAATAATATGTTATTTTAGATTAATAATAAATTATAAACTTATAAAATTCATGAAATTGAAAAGAATTGTGTTAAAGAATAGAGATTTTAATAAATTTTATAAGTTACAAAAAAATTAAATAAGAAATACTAAAGATTTTAGCATGTTTATGCTAGTAAGAGATTGTAAAGCTTCAAAATATTGTAAAAATAAAAAATCGAAGAAGTGATATTAAAATGAAAAATAAATGATTTTTTTATACAATCTGCAAAATAGCAAAATATTAGGTGTGTTAGAGCTTTTTTCGACGTGAAAGTATTATTTAATTTTATAGTTTAAGAAACGATCTTTCCTACATAAAAGTAATTATTGATATGAATACATATAAACGAAATTTTAAATTTATATTTTAAAATGTGGAAAATATTTATTATATATATATATATATATTCCAACTAGAGTCCATCGGTCTACCAATTCAGATATCGAAAGTTATGACTCAGTAAATTTATTTACATATATTGATTAAGTAACTATTCATTATCAATGAATAAGATCGTAGTTTGTTAATATTATTATTATTTTTAGAGGCCATTATATCCCTGAAAAAAGGATTTTGTAGGTATTTATAGGGATCAGAGCATAGAAGGTTGTACATTTTTATTAAAATTTAAATTTAAAATTTTTGTAAATCATATAAATGAACAATCAATAAGATTATTTCATAATGTAATTATACGAATTTTTTTAATAAAAAAGTTGCATTTATTTAATAAAAATTAAAATACCGATTTATTTTAAATAGTTAATAATAACCTTTAAGTTATGTAATAATTAATGTAGCTATGCACGGTAGAAAAAAGTATGAAATTTTATTTTATGTAGTATTTTACTTTCATGTATGAGTAAATCGACAAATCTAAAAAAAAAAAAAAAAAAAAAAAAAAAAAATTTTATTAAAATGTCAATGTACCGCTGATGGCTCAAGTTTTATATAAAAATTGACTTATTGGCAATTTTCTTGAACAATATTTTATTCATATTATCACACATTTTATGCTCCTTTGTTTTCAAGGTTGAAAAAACGTTTTCGTGGAAATATTTAAGGTCATTTCATATCAATGTAAATAATGTTTTTAAATATGAAACTTAAAATCTGTGGTTTGAGAAACGTGTATAAAATTATATTTACTCTGTATTCTCGTATTTATCAAAAGGAAAACTTAAAAAATATTGCACTTGATATGAAATTATTGATATCAAGTAATTTCATTATGATTCGATGAGTTTGTAAAATGGCAGGCATTTTATAAAATGCTCATGTGCATACGTATATATATATATATATATATAGAGAGGGAGAGAGAGAGAGATATGGAGAAGCGTTATTACATATGCCATTATTTTCTATCTACTTAAAAAATGTTTACGTATTTTTTTCAAGTCATATTGCTGCAGTTTGAAATGACCGAGGAAGTAATCGGTGAATTGTCAAGATTGACTCGGGTGTCGGGGGAGTTGTCCGCGACACCCGGTGGGAAAGCAGAGCGGGAAGGAGTGCCGCGATTACGGGGAGTAAGGGGCTGGAGAAAGGGTCATCGAGGACCATCGAGTCAACATTATTCCAGGTCTCACCTCTGTGCAAGCAGCGCATCAGTCGGCTGGTGGTGAGGGGAGTGCCGAGGGTGCAGGCGCTCCTGTGCAGCTCGCAGTGGTTCGCGTAGACCTTGCCGTCGCTGGCGCAGACGGGGCGGTGACGTCGGGCGCAGCGCCTCGCGCACCCGCATACCCCGTAGCCGCCGTCCGGAGAGAGCTGACACTCACGGCCGGCCCCGCAGTACTTGCCCGCGCACGGGTCTGCAACACAAGATTCGAGTTTGCAAAGAGGGGCCTTAGCTGGGGCCACCTCACTGACCCCGAGTCGCTGATTTTAACAATAGATTAGAATGGTCGATGTGGAGCACTTAATGCGCGCGTGGCAATGATAAGGGCCGCCTCGATAAAGGGAGACCCATCCATTTGGAAGATTTAGCGAGGACGAAGGCAGGTCGGAATTAATGAACGGGATTAATCGGCAAAGGTTATTGAGTTAGTTTGAGCTTTAGTCGTTGTGTATCTTATGGCTTTAGGAAATGTCCTATAGAACTGAGATTTTGAAAGAATGTCATTTCAGTGCGAGGAATTTATTTTACGTTTATGATTAGATTAACGTCGCTTGTCCAACTTTTTTCCAAGTTTGGGAAATGAAAGAGACCAGCTTGTGCTATATGAAACATTTTAAAAAGAATTTGAACTTTTCTAGTCGTCCATTTCTATGAAATGTTGGCAATATTGCGCGAGCAAGGGAAATTGTTATACCACTTTTAATGAGCAATTTTCAACTATGGCTCGTACATTATCATATTCAATGAGAAACGAAGGATTGATTAAATTATAGATTTATTATTATTATTATTATTATTATTATTATTATTATTATTATTATTATTATTTATAGTCTTTTTTTTTTTATAGTATAAAAATGATTCATTTTGGCTTTTACACTTCGTAATAGACAATATTGTATGTATATGTGGAATGAGAATGATGATTTAAGGGATGGAATTTTTTTATATTTTTATTATTATTTCGTTATGATAAGATCGCAGTTGTATTTGCGGGATAGTATAGCAAGTTCAATATTCTACAAGCACATTTGCCTGCACATGTATGCAGAAATTTTTACATAAAATTTTAATTAAAATTCATGCAACTTTAATTAAATATTATAGTGAATTTAATAATTATAAGATTTTTATTTTTATAGAGTATAGGAAATTTATGTTTAGAAGTTTCATTAATGTTTTTTTGTCATTTCACTTAAATATGTGTATTATTGCATGAATAAAGGAATTTATATATTTTATATGTTTACATTGTAAGTAATAAATCATTAAAAATATATAGAAGTTTTTTTTTTGTTATTAAAATTATAAATAGCTTGTATAGGCTTAATTTGATAAAGAAATCGTCTGGAATTCGATGAAAATATATTCATGAATATAACATCATTTGTTTTGTTACACGAATATTTAACTAACTTTAAAATTATAAGAAATGATATAGAATTATTCTACGATTATATACATTTTCTTCAAAAAATTTAGTATTTACGCTGAATCTTTTCTTTTTCTTTGCACTTCAAAATCAGTAAATATTAGAAAAACTATATACTAACAAAATATTTTAATTAAACAATGTAAATTTATACGAATGGAATTTTGTTATAAAATTCTTTTCACACGCGTTTAAACAAATACGTGCGTATCACACTTTTTATACATTATAAAATATTGTTTATTATATTTTTTTTAATAATTATTTTAATGCATTTGTACATTATTATGATCATCATTTACGACCACTTTTAACACACTACATTGAATATCAAAGTAACTTGGTTAAGTTAGTAATGGCAAGAAATTGGATCATCATTATGGTTTATTAACTTTATGTTCATATTAAAAGACTCTATTGAATATATTTTTTTATTACGGTTTGAAGTCGTCTAGTTTATTTCTCTGTATTTTTGGAATTTCGTCCTATATATGCTCTAACATCAGTTAATAGACACTTTGACATTTATAATTTTTATTCCAGGAGTATATTAGTTACGTGATCAATGGATATTATCATTCGTCCCACATCAATTGAATAAATTCTTTAAAGATTTTTTATATAACAGTCTGTTAAACGATCATTGCACAATGTTTCTAGATTTAAATTGTTTATGTTCTTTTATTAAGATGTATTCATTATTGTTTAGTATTCATTATTGTTAATCAAATATGCTATTTCAGAATTCAATAGTTGATAAATGCTGCATTTTTTTTTATTTTAATAGTCATTTCAAAAGAGTGCCCCCCATATTAGACATTTGAAAAATTGATAATTCAATTGTACATAATTATATATGTGCGTGTGTGTGCGCGCGTGCGCGCGTGCAGCGAGTCTCTGCTACTCTTTAATTTAAGAAGTAATAAACGACTGGATTAGCGAATTCAAAAGACATATAAGCGGATATTAATCTGAGTAATTGACTCGGATAAATGAATAGTGGAGTAATGTAGATGTTTGATGAGAGAAACGTGAAAAAGAAGAGAAATTTTTTAAAACGCATTGGCGTCGCGGACAAACGACCTCTCTATAGTTCCATGCGCTCGGCCACTTGTTGCGTAGAATTTGCTGTGTGTTCAATTTTCTCTTTACTTCCTTGGCTACATAGGGAGCAGCCACTCCCGGAAGAAACGAGCGACAATCGCTTATTATTGTACTTGAACTACTATGAACTATTGTTCATCTTCTCTGCTTTGAGAACTTCCGTTGTTAATTGGAGTACATACTGCAATTAATGACGTGATTGTAGGCTTTCAATATAATCTAGATTCTTTTTACGTAATTTTTTAATTTATTGTTCAAGCTATTTATTTATTTATTTTCCATTATATAAATAAGGATTTCGATACAATGGTATAATGTATATTTTAAAATTTTTAATCTTAAGTTATTAATAGACAACAATTATGTATATCAAACTTCAATTTCTATATGAATTTGACATCGTAATTAAGCAATTAGGTGCTTAAAAAGTACAGTTAATCATGCAAGATTTATAAATGAAAATTAATTTTAACGAAAGTCTTAACATTATAAAGAAGTCCTGTAATTAACTTGTAATTATAAAAAAATAAGATCAATTATAGCGTTAAATAAAATAAAAACTCTTAAGGACACGTGTAGATATCCATATTATTACTATTCGTATCGGATAAAGTATGGAAATTCTAATTTTTTTTTTTTTTTTTTTTTTTTTTTTTTATTTTTTTCAAATTTTTTTTTTTTTTTTAATATTATCGACGAATTTGAATGAAACGTTCTTATGTTTATATAATTTTATATATAATAATTTATATTAATTATAGTATGTTTATTGTTGAAATTATATCAAATCTCACCAAAGTTCACGCTCGATATTTGTACAATGAATATGCATTAAGAAAAAAGAGGAAGAAAAAAAGAGAAAAAAAAGTGTATTGCATTAACAGAGCCTTTTTTATTTAACAACAGATTGAAATTCGATTAAGCTTCTGAAAGAAATGCGAGCGTCTACAAGGAGTGTTTGTCAAACATTTTAAAAATCGTCGTTACCTTGAAAGCCCTACCGCTGCTGTCGAGGTGAGCAATCGACGAAAATGGAAAAACTGATTGACAGATTTTACGACCGAGACAAGCAGCCTCCTGCCCATAAAGCGTGAAAATTCATAAAAATTGAGAGGGACGAGGATGCAGAGATGAGAAGCCCGAAAAGAGAGGAGTGTAAGGAGCGGAAATAGAGGTGAGGCTGCAGTGACAGTGAGTTCGATCTCTATGCTAATCCTGAAGTTAGATATTGAATTCGCGATGCTCGACGAGTGAGTGCCACTAGGTTGGTACTTGCCACCTTCCGCGTACGTGTATGCGTAAACATACGTCGTCAAGACCATTTAGATTCTTGGGGATGAGCTAAACTTTTATTTGCCCGAATTTTCCTGCATCTTCACGTCGGCGGTGCATGTGCTTTTTTTCCTTAGTACACGAGTGATTCGGTGTCGAGAAGGACGAAGAATACGGTTTGTCAATGTTGAAATCGTACATGTTCGCTGTGGATCTGTGACTGAGCCATTTAATGGGAGTATCCTGATTCGGAGAGATATTAATATATTCATATCATGTTGTATCCTTACAGAGCTAGCGATCTATTATTTTTGAAATCGAGGATTATTTTTAATCCCTTATTTGGGAAGATCCTTTGAAAGAATTATTGTTTGGTTTAATTATGATTGGGCAATTTTATTATTTATTCGAATATAGATGTATAAATTTAGGCTGATTTAGGCGTTCGGGTTGTTTTATCTATAAGTAACATCATCGATCGACTCTTGGTTGATATTTTTGTTTATTGATATTGATATAATAAATATTATTCAATTCCATGTGGCGTTAAAATAAATGTCGTGTTAGATCGTGTCAAGTTCATATTTTGTATTCTCTTCAAAACTGGATTTTTACTAAAAGTATTTGCGTGTAAATATTTGTTTTTTTTTTGTTTTATTTGTTTTTTTTTTTTTTTTTTTTTTTTTTTTTTTTTTTTTTTTTTTTTTAAATATTTCATACTAAAATATACTTAATTTATCAATAATGAATTTGTAAAGCTTCAATGTATGATTATTTTATACATACTAGAGAAAAATTGATTTAAATAGAAATTCAATCTATTTAGGATTTATTAAAAAAAAAAAAAAAAAAAAAAAATACTATTGTTGTGATTTTAAACATTTTTCTTGGAATAAAATTTAATGTAAATTTTCTTTATAAATACACTTTGTGTTTAGATTTATTATAAAAATTACACCTACACGAAATGTTTTTTTTTGTTTTTTGTTTTTTTGTTTTTTGTTTTGTTTTTGTTTTTGTTTTTGCTTTTGGTATATATGTTTAAAAACATATATATCATACAGATTTTTAATATTAATTCGGAAAAATAAATCAATTAACGTACGCGACAAGTAGATAAATACCTCGTTACCTCTATTTTAAATAAGTTTATAATTTAATATTATCATTATAATGTAAATTTGAATGAAATATAGGATTAAATGTTCATTGAGCAAATAATTTTCAATTTATTAGGACGGATAATATAATTGCCCAAGATCATTAATCATACTCTTGAAGCCATCACAAAATAATGACACGTTGGGACAGTGGTGTTCAATATCACTAGCAAATTATTATTATTATTATTATTATTATTATTATTATTATTATTATTATTATTATTATTATTATTATTATTATTATTATTATTATTATTATCTAATACATTATAATTTATAAAATGATCAAACTATATTTAAAAATCATTACCTTGTGATTGGAATCACTAATTACGTACTTTTAGCGAATGTACATTGAGGATAAGAAAGTTTTTCTTAAAAATTTTAAGATTTTAATATTATACAATCATTATATGTATTCTTTATGTTGTGCATTTGACATTTCATTAAATATGTCATTCGGTTTAGATTGAGAATTGTACATTTTTTGGATATAACATATTTATACAATTTTGAGTATTGTTGACTATGGCTTGGAATACATTTGTCATAATTTTTTTTTTTCCCAGTGCGACTTTAATTTATTTAAGAATTAGAAACATTCATAATTAATTGATGTATTTGAAAATTATCTTTCAACGGCAATAAATCCATTGGATTTATTAATTTGTATTTTTTACTTCAAGTTTATATAAAATTTTCAATTAATAAAAATTCATACATTTTCGACAATTAAACCAAGCAGCGATAATCGATCAATTTAATTGAATAATATCCGATTAAGTTTCACACTACATACGAGGCACCAATCACATGCTACTGATTACGTTTCTACAGCTATTACTTTTCTATGTAGAAAAGTACAACTTTCTCCGATAAAGTCTATCATTATTATTTCTATTAAAAACTTAACTATAATACATTAACTGCCGTAAATCTATAAATGTACAAAAGCAAAATTCATATTGTTAATAGAATATATCTACATTCGTTATTTATGAAAATCAAACATTAAATTAACATATTCACAAATATTTATTCACTCTATAATAATCATTAACTTAAAGAATAAAATATTTTCATTTAGTATAAAGAAATAATTTTAATACTGATGAAAAAAAAAAAAAAAAATAAATAAAATATAACTCATTTACTTTTATAAATTTAGAGTTTACAAAAACTTTGTGTCCGATTATGCCAATATATTTCATGTGTAAAGATACTTATTAAAATCTAATTATATGAAAAAATGATTAATCTTTAATTATATTCTAAATCGTTAAATATGGAAATATAAGTAGTTCATTAAATAAATCAAACACATTTCTCTGCTAATAATATTATTATTCATTCGTCATATTTTTAAATAGTATAATTTTTCACGTTCTAAGTTTTAAAAATTAAAAAATGCTATTTGCAGTTAGTAATTATAATGTAATATACTCACTGCGGCTAAAGTAATCATCGTCGAGACTAATAGAGGACGACAATGTTGCAGCATCTTGGATTTTTTGTGGCTGCTCGGTCGTCCCCATGTCTGACGCTTCAGTTGGAAACTCGTGTCGGTGAACCATAATGTAACGATGACGTTTAGCATGCTAAAATTAAGGAAAGAACGTTGGTTGACTAATCGAAATTCGCTCATATTTATGTAATATTTTTAAGATAACACTACAATTCTAATCTCTATTATACAAAATTTCTAATCTATAATTTTAGTCTCCATTATACAGATTCTTTATGTTGAACATATTATTCTTCGTGATGAGTACGATAAATAATATTAAACGTCCAAGTTTGTAATTCAAAGGCATATATTGCTTGTTAATTTTATATTCTCTGAAAATTTTCGTTTATTCTTTTTGTTGACATGTCTTTTTTCTTCCATCGTCTCTTGCTTTAATATAAATATTTGTATTATTCATACTAAAATAATAGAAAAATTCAGGGGCTATAAAAGTAAATATTATCCAAGTTATTTTTATGACAATACAAATATATTGTAAACAATAGGTTAAAATAATTTTTAGAAAAAGTATTAATCCGATCAGATAGATATGATCGCGAATTTTTTAAATTAAGAAAGGAGAATGCTGAAAAATATTTCTGTATATACGATATTTATAAGTGAGTTTTGCTTTAAGACATCCAACAAAGAATCAATTGAACCGTATTAATTCTTATGGGATGGCGATACGTGGGCTGAGCATATCGAACCGTTTCATATAATAATTTTATGCAAATATCTAAATAATATTCTGAAATAAAATTAATAATGTATGAAGAAATTAATTCGTTATATTGTCAACTGATATTTCATTTTCGACTTTCGATATTTCTTTTCTTTTTTTTTTCTTTTTTTTTCAAATTTACAACACTTTGATGAGAAAAATCTCACCATTCATCGATAAATCTCTATTTTTATTAAATTTTTTAATTTAAATTGTTCTTATTGACCATGTTTTAACGCAATTTGAAAATTTAATATATTAATTTAATATTTTCATGCTTTCATTAGATTTTCTATGTCTGTTTTATCAGTGATTAATTGTAATTTAAAAAAAAATTCATTTCACATTTATGAAGCAATTAATTTAAGTTTAGCTGGATTAAATTTGCGTTTAAATTTATAATTTTGAAATATTTAATTATAATCAAATACAAACATAAATATAGAATAATATTAAGAAAACATAAGTATTATAAGAAATAAATAAGTTTGTCATTAATTTTTCATCTTTTCTTCTACTTTTAGTCTTTATAATTACCACTTCTTTGTAATTGTATTTATTATATTTTGTATTAGTTTATAATAAATTAATTGATATTTATAGTTAATATAATTGCTCATCACAGCTTATTATTTATTTATAAATATATACGTTTATTATAATTAAAATTCATTGGTAAAAGGAATTTTGAAAATTTTATTCCAATATAATATTTAGATTAATTGGCTGTAAGAATTCCACAATTCTGAATAATAATTTAATTTTATAAACTCAACGAGGGACATACGCATAAATACAACATGACACATGTAAATATTTTTCGTTAGTATGAATTCCGAATGAAAATCAATTTATCTATTATGAACTGATACTATTACTGATAATATCAGTATTTAGTTAAATAATTTGAAAGAGTAAATTTATAAATGATAAATAATAGTTCTATAAAAGTAGCAAGAATAAGAAAATATTTAACGATATAGAAATAATGTTGTAATAATGATTATAATAGAGATAAAATTTTTAACAGCATGTGATTGAGTGACTGATTCATAAAGAATATAATTTTTTCATAAACTGGATTGACTATTCATTATATATAAAATTCATTTATATATAAATTGTAATCGTTGTAGATTGTTAAAAAATTATTTTATTTTTTTAATCAATTACATTGTAGATCTCAATTATACTATAAATTTCGATGATTATCATATTTTAACAAAATATAGTTGGTAATAATTTTTCGGGTTTATTTTTGCTAAGATATTAAATTGGGATAATTTTCTCTTTTCATTATATTAAAACTATATAATTATTTCCTGTAACATTAAATTTATAAACTTGTTAAGCTCTATTTTATTTATATAATTGATTTAAAAGGCCAATTATTGTACACAAGTATATAGTAACAATTAAGCATTTAAAATTAAAATAATTAATATATGTAAATACCGTAAATTTTTAATAATTTTATTTGTCAAATTAATGTTGCATTTATGCATGTAATTGAATACTGTATTAAAATTTTATAAATACAACTGTCGAATTAATTTTCAAAGCAGTAAGTAAACGCAAATTTTATATTATTTTTTTTTTTTTATAACATGTGAGAAACTTTATTTAGAAAGAAATTTAAAAACAAATTATAAACTTAAAAGTACAATGTATAATATGATAAAAATTAAAAAACCTTGGAGAAAAATATTTTTATTTAAAGTCTACTGTGGCTGAAAAAATGTCATAGCCAGAACTTGAAAAATATGTTGAAAATTTAATATGAAAAAACACATTAAATTCAAAATACTTTTTTAAAAAATAAAAATCATATGCTAGAGAATGCATACATAAAATTAATTTCACATTTAGAATTAAGATCTTTCCATTAAAATTTTTAATTATTTTTGAAAACATCAATTAGGACTTATGAAAATGATATACAGGACTTCATCGGTATAAAGTGAAATTTAACTAAATGTAACTGCTATTATAATTCAATAAAATTAAAAATAATGAAGAAAAGAAAACTTTATTATGAAAAAGATTATAAGCGTTTCAACAATGCTTTTGAGTTTTTATGTCAATATATACACTAATGATGGGGAAGGGGAAGGGGGGGGGGAGAGCTTAATTATTGAGTCTAAAAGTTTCTTGTTAATATACAATATTCTTAAGAGAAACTTTGCGTGGATGGATATTAGTCACACTCCGAAACAATCTTCTATGCTTAATTTTCAATTTGCATATGTGCGAGCAGAAATCGTAGCCATCGATTACTGCATTTTTCCTTTTGCTTTTCCATTATTCTACATAATAAGTTTTTCTTAGCTGATGAAACTTTGAGAACTACAGATGAGTTTGCGATAAGTATTAATATGATTGAAAAACATATTTTCAATATATTTAAGAAAAAAATGTTTATATTAATGTATGTCCTCTAATAATGATTGCCTTAAAATATTATTATTTTCATATGAATTTTCATGAAAATTTGCTTCAAATTATTTTTCAACATAACAATATTGTAGTTGACAAATTTACGTTGGAAAAAAATTAATGGTACATTATAATATCATTAAATGAATATGAATGGGACTTGAAAAAGCTTTATAAATTCCAAAGAATACCGATATTTATTCAATTTTTCATAAACATTTGAGCTCCATTTCAATAAAATCGCTATTACGATAGTATAGTATTGTATTTCATTTATTTATCGGAATCTCGTGTGAGTCTGTATTTGTCTCGTAATAAAAAAAGCAGCTCATCGTGGCGCACTTTCTCACCTGAATGTAACGTTTTTTTCATAAATCTTACCGCCGACAATTTTCATACGCGTGCAACTTTATCCCATAAAAATGTAAATATGTAGTCTATGTAGGCGGTTGAGTATTCGCGCGCAGCGTGTGCACAAATGGATTTGTATGCGTATCGTGTAATGCGTCGCGTCCCATACTTTAATTTTCCGGGCAGGGTTGGCCACAAATTTCCAAGTAGGTGTAAATTAAGTGATTCCTGATCACAAGTGGCTGATCGTATCATTCGTATGTAAGAGCCCGCAGAAAGAAGCAACGAAGCAGTTTCAGAACAAAGAAAATGAAGAGCGATGAAGATCTCTCGCAGGAAATTGACTTGACATACGGTCGGTACGTGCTACAGTCACTTCTGCCAATATCAATCCATGAGCCTTTCTCACATTCCCTTTGTTTAATTTTAATGTTTTATTTATACCCTATCCCGAAGGAGTTTCTCATATGATACTTTATGTATTATTGCTATGATTAATAACATTCTGTTACTTTACAAAAATTTTATTTACTTGTCAAAGATAATTCTAAAATAATTCTCCAGCACTTGCTTTATATTCCTTATTCTGTCGCATATGTTTGGAGAATATTGTTGTTACATATGCCGGCAATCAATCGATTATATAAGAATGAAATATTAATTAATGAATACGACATCCAATTTATAGTAATAATAATAAGATTATTTATCAGTGTCATAAAAGTTTTTTAAATAAAAAATTAATTGGTTTATAAATGAGTTTAGATTATTAAATTTGGTATCCCTTGGCATGAAATATAAATATTAATATTTTTTTCATATTGATGTACAAAGATAGTAAAATAAAATTTTATTATTACCGGAAAATCTAGTATTTAATTTTTTTTTATATTCTTATATATATATATATATATATGTAGTTCTGCTATAGTTTTATAATTTCGATTTTTAATTAATTTGAATTATATGTTAGGATTAAAAAGTTTTATAATTAGATTTGAAATACTAAAGTCAAAATGGGAATCCTCATTATGAAAAGATGTTTTTTACTTCTCCTGTGTATTGTATAAATTTGTAACGAAACGCAAAAGAAATATGCATGATTTTATTTAGTACAATTTACTCTAATTATTTATAAAATTAAGATTTAACGTAGTACGCGAAGATGTAGAAATATTGAAAATATTCGATAATTTCGGATTTGCAGAAAGAAAATTGCAAGCGTATGAAATGCGATGACAATATTAGATTAATTATACACCAATTGAAAAATAAAAGGCGCACTTGATATCTTAAACTTTTAGCACATAAAGACCATATTTGCCCTATTATATGTCATTTGCACAATTGTATGAAAAAGATGGCTACGCAATATCAATCCTCTTATAGATATAAAAGATAATGAGAGTCATAAGCTTTAGGAACAACTGAAACTTCTAATACGACATCGTCACATAGAATAGTAGTTAGCGGCCCTCATACTTAGATGTATATAGTTAATAGAGCGACCGCAATGCAGTGCCGAGGAAGTGAGAGCCGTAATAATAAAGTGTTATGCTCGTATCACACTGGAGCTTTAGCTTGGAAAGTACCACTTTCCATTTAGCTGAAACATGAAAATCGAATGAACTTACTACGATAGAATAGACCACTTGATGACGCTTCCGAACTCTGATACTTTTTGCAATCGATAAAAATACGTAACTCGTTTTCTCATCGACGTGAATTGTGATTTATATTTATGTCTTTGTAATGGATACACGGATAAATAAAAAAAAAAGTACTATTACACATTTTTTCCCATTGAATTATATTCTTTTACAAGCTCATAAAAATATTATGCAACGATATTTTCGACATGTCGCATATTACGAAGAAATAACTTAATTATTATAAGTAAACGGTAATAAAATGTTTGATAGCCTTTTATATAAAACTCATTGGTAAATACTATAATTTTTCAGTAAATTTAACAGCAAAATACAGATAATGCTATTTGAAATAAAAATTAAAAGCTTATCTTATATATTATTTACTCGGTTAGAAATTTATAAATACAATATTTCTTAACGATATAGCGAAAGTTTATCGCAGAACTTTATCTGACTGTGACATTTGGTTAATTTTTTTCTTAAATTTTGTCTAAAAATTGATATAAATAATATAAAAGTCGTTGATAGAAAATGAAAATATATTTATTAAATGCTTATGAATATTAGTTAACGATTCAAAGATTAGTAAAGTTGAGTAAAAAGCCAGTAAACTACAAAATTAGTTACTTTTAAGATAAATTACATTTAGGTTTAAAAGAAAAAGGCAGTTCAGGTATCAGTTGAATTCTCGTAACATCTACCTTTACTAAATGCTCATCGTGGAGTATTTTTTGAATTTCTTTTTGTCCAGATCGATTTGACCCTTCACTCCCTAAAGAGAGAGAGAGAGAGAGAGAGAGAGAGAGAGAGAGAGAGTGATTCCATTCGAGATCGTAGTATAGAATGAACATACGCACTGGCCAATAGTACTGGAAATAGCCTAGTGAAGCTGCCTTCGAGTGTTCGTATTACAGTTGAAAAAAAAAAAATATATATATATATATATATATATAGAGAGAGAGAGAGAGAGAAAGAGAGATTTTCGTATCAGTCTTCTTCAATTCCTTTACTTAACTAACATTGACACTGCTGACCACATCTTGATGTAATAAAAGTAAAACAATGGCTCTGTCTTTTTTATATTAATTTTTTTAGTGGATGATTATAGTGTAGCACTTTATTCTTAAACAAAGAACTCATAAAACAATGAATACAAAATAATTTACCAAAAGAAGATGTTCATAATTATTGCTACCTATGGCATTAATTTAGAAATCGACTACTATTTACGTTTTAGAAAATTGTGAACAAAACTTAGCTACATAAAATAGTAGATTTAAAACAAATAGTTTCGAAAATAGTTTTGCAAAGCCTTTGACGCCGAGGTAAATATGAAGAAAATAGGATGGCTATGTTGAATTGAATTAATGATTTGAATAATTTAAATGATAAAGGTAAAGCGAAACTTTTATAAATGATCAAAGTTTCAAGGATCATATTTTAAGAGTTGCATATATTAAAAGTAATTAAGAATCTCTTTCATTTTAGAAAAGTGAATTTTTTTTTAACATATTTACAAAATAGTTTAAAAACTTAATATTTATAAGTTTTTTTACTGCCATAAGTTTTATTTTAAAATTGTGTTTTATTATTTTTACTATATATTCAGAATTTTAAATATAAATGATATTAGTAATATTATAAGGTTGAATTTTATTAGAATAAAAGTTATATTACCTTATGAATTAAATTAATTTTTATATCAAAATAATACATATTTATAATATAAATTAGCTGTAAAACATAATTGACGACATCGTAACGAAGTGGTCGAATTATTCTTTAGAGATTTTGCATTTACTATGAATAAATATGCATTTTGCGTTTTCTTTAGGTAGCAAACAACATTTTTTAGTAAAATAGTCATTTGAAAAAATTAAATAATAATATTATGTGTTTATATATATATATATATATATATATATATATATATGTAAAATTTTGTACTAATTATCAAATATAATTTTGTTTTTATATATATATTTTAATAGATCTTTTAAATATTTAATTATTAAGTAGTATATTATCTGTGATTCAAGATATGATATTATTTTATGATGCAATCTGATATTAATTATTGAAAGAATATAAAATTTGTATATACTTTATTATAGATGAAGCAATAAAAAAAAGTTTATTGTATATGGAGTAATAAAATTTGTAAAAAAAAATTTCATATTTTTTTTGTAACAAGTATCTATATAAACGTCAGGATAGAAATAATGTTTACATATATATTTTTAGATTTTGGAAATTTTCAAGTTTTCGATACATCTGGAAAAGCAATGGAAAAATCATATTTTATGCAATTGGATATTTTAGATTCGGAGATGGCAAGTGGAAAATCGGGTGACGACCGACATAAGAGAGGAGAATTTTTCACGATTCAGTTGCATCTTGGTTAATAAGTTCTCTCTCTCTCTCTCTCTCTCTCTCTCTCTCTTTTTCTCTCTTGGTCTGCCTTATGGCAGACCCTAATCGAGTGCACGAGTGGCTCGACTAGCGGACGACTACGTCCGATAAAACGGACACATAAGTACCTGTGACGAGCCCGTGAGAGCAGATCGTTGGTACTCAAACCTAATGCGGGGGCGGTCTTTTTGGCCGAGGTTGATGCTAATGGATCTTTTGCTTTTTTTTCCGATGAGGGCGAAGGCTTCGAAACTCCAAAAGATTCTGTCACGAGAGCTTTTTGAGCGGGATCGTATATTCTTGGGACGGATCGGAGAATTTCTTAATAATAATTATAATTCGCCTGGAGTGTGGTGGATCACGCATTCGGGATTTTCGTCGAAAACCGCCTCGTCAAATGTGTCAGTTATTGTCGGTCGTGGCGTTTACGCGAGTATTCGACCACTTTAGTGAGAACTTTTCCATGCGACGAGAATCTAATCAAGAAACGAATGAGACTCAGAGTTACATTATCGAATACACTCAGTGCGGTATACTTTTGACGAATAATGTTTAACATGATATGTCCATCATACTTTAAATTAAAATCAAAATGTTTCCATTCAAAATTCCTAAGAATATATATTTTTTTTATTTTATCTTTTAAAATAAAATAGTTAAATAATTATTAATTTGAATGCCATACTATGTTATTGATAATTTTTTAGTCCTTGATTTGACTGCAATATAGAAAACTATTTTATGTACAGTGACAAAAGGGAATATAAATACGAATGTGGAGATAAAAATGTTTATATACGTATTATTAGAAAATATCTATTGTACTTGGAATCTAAAGGATTACAAGTTGACATTGAAAAATCATAATTTTAATCTTTATTTTGGATCTTTCGATTTAGTAATGACGGCATTAGAATAATAAAGTACTGTATTTTCAAAGGCTTGAGTCTTTAAAGGTTTTCAGATAATACACTCGATTACTTTAAAGTTTGTTTTATAGATGCTGTTGTTCTTCAATGGCCTTCTTTTTAAAATACATACGACTCGCTTTAGTGTGAGTTAAATAGAACTTTTAGAATAAAAGAGTTTTATTTTCATGAGACTGTTTATAAGAATATTTATTATACGTAGAAAGTATTTGTGTTTTAAATCGAATAAAAAGTTCTAAGATTAAATTGAACGAAAATTTAATAAATATCTTACAATTTAAACAAATTTGAAATACTAAATAAGAGCCGAAAAAATGCGTTTGAATGTTCAATTTAGAGTGAAAGAATAAAATTTTGACTGTGTTTATGAATATTTATTCAGAAATTCAATAATAGTTTATATTTCGAAATTTTAGGTCGAACAGTAATGGCAGATTACTTTTGAATGAAGCAATCTCATGTATTTTGTAATGCAATAAAATGTCCACTGCATAATAAGATTATCTAAACATTTTCAAATTATTATTGTGCATACAAGGATATGAGTAATTTCAATTAAATACAAAGAAAAGTTATATGTGGTTGAAAAATTGCTTTTTATCATCTAAAAGTTTCGCATAATATTAGTCGTTTTAAAAAGTTTATTTGATTATTCTGAAAAAAGTAAGTAGATTATCGTTTTTTCTTTTTGTATTTTATTTAGAAAATAAAGTTTTTAACTTCCAATTGAAGAAGCTGTAAGTAAGCTTTAAAATCCTACAGATTTTGGATTTTAAATTTTTTTTTTTTTTTTTTTTTTTTTTTTTTTACGTGGAAAGATAAAAAAAATCATGTACATCAACTGGTGAAATTAATTGAAATGGAATAATATTACCAGCTGGTATTCGTCAGAAAAAACTACGTTAAGCTTATTATATTACAGAGCGAGCCCTTGCCGAAAAATCTTCGAAATTCTCTATTTTAACTATCAACTAGATAACAATTATTAATTTGTGCTTAAGTAATAGTTAAGACACTAATGTGTAAAAGTAGTATGTGCGTTTGCTCTTGCCTAAGTCCTCCATTTACTATTCGTAATTTGATGATCACGACGTGAAATGATGTATTGTCGGGAGTTTCATCATAATTAAATCATAAAGTTTTTACGAAGCAGAACTATAATTGCACTACATAATTGCAGCAAGACATTGTGAAGTTCGAAAATTCAGCGCATAAAATGTCGCGAAATAAAAAGTCGGCTGTAACGCCTTTTCCCTTCTCGGATATCACTATAAAGGAGGCAGTTGTAAATGCAATTTACAGGTGAATACAGTTGATATATCGGGGAAAGGGGTGACGGGGCGGCGACGCGCATAACCGGCCTCGTCAGCTAAAGCTCGAGAGTTGGCGGGAAAGAGGAAAAGCCAGCACGTCTTGGGCGTAACGACGGAGGTAAAGCAGCGCGCGTTCCTTCGACCGGGTGATGAAGGTCCCGTCCCACATTTTATTCGCCGGTGAGTCCTGACACGATCCTTCCTCTCGATCCTCGCCGATGCGTGACCCTCTTTATTCCCATTTTCCTGTGGCGTGCTTTCTCGTTCCTTTACTCGTCGCCGGAATTTCCCCAGGTTCCGCTGACCTTTTCTTTGCCGAACAAAAGACAAAAGAGCCAGCAGCTTTAAGCAGTGATTTTCTCGGTGGTGGAAGGTCTTGGTACTATAAAGTTTCTATACTTTTTTTTTTTTTTTTTTTTTTTTTTTTTTTTTGTATTAGCAATAAACATTCTTTTATGATTATATTTTTTTTCTCGCTTTTTTATTATTTTATTTTTAAAATAGACGTATAAAGTTAGCATACTGTGGTTCGCTAAAAAATTGAAACGGTTACACAATCATACGTGTATATAAGACTCTTCTTTATCGTCATTGCTAGAAGTTCATTATAGTTATATTATAGTAATTTAGATTAACAGTTGATAATAATCGAATAGTAAATAAGTGAATCAGTTTCAGATTAATCACAATTAATCTACATTTAACGCAGAGGAGAGGTAAGTAAGAATGTTGAATTTTTTTTTATATGCACTTTGGTAGTGCATGGATGTGTGTACTTTGCGAGATAGTAATAGTGAAGAATTTGGATGGAATATTCACTATACGAATACAAAGATTCTTCATAATTAGTATTATAAATATTCCGATGAAATAGGAGTCAGACGATCGGTCATTGGATTATACTACGTGGGTTGTTTAATTTTATTAAAAAAAGCATCCTATTAATAATTAATTCGTGATTTGAATTTTAAATTCTATGAATATAGTTCAGACGTATGCATTAATATTCAAAAAATTTTTAATTCATAAATCGTTTTTATATAGGGTATAATTTTAATATTAAAAAGAAAAAAAAAACTTAAAAAGTTATGAATTCTCAGTTTGTGGCAGACGTTACGTTTTTTATTAAGATTTCCGTACCTACGTAAAATCACTTTATTACTCAAATTATTATTATTTACATTTTATTTATCGTGCATTACATTGATTTTTCGGCTTACTTGACATTACATTTTGGGGCACTTGTGTTAGGATAGCAATTTGCTGCACTAGCAAATAGTCCTTGTGAGAACACCAGCTTTGTATTTTTAGTAAACTAAGTCAATTAAAACTCTGACGTCAATAAGGTGTAACTGGTTGAGTTTCTTATTATTAAATTTCACAGTATTAAAATCGTTTCATATATGTTCTGCTTTTTTCATTTATATATATATATATATATATATATATATATTTCCCTTTACATACATTAACTATTTTCAATGTATTGTTCCATCGATGTTTAATGGTTATTTGATCATAAATAATAATATCAAATAGTCTTTAAATACTCTTCTATACAATTGAATAATTGAATAATTGAATAATTGAATAATTAGTAACAAGTATTGTTATACTCTTACACCATTCTAACAAATATTAGAAGTTTATAGATTAATTATACCATTGTTATGAAAAATATTTCCTCCGATACACTAATATTAAGGGTTACTTTTATTTTTCTTTAAAATTAGCAGTGTATATCTGTAAATATTATCCAGGAGGATATTAAATTAAAGAATAATATTATTAAGCTTTAAATGAATAAGTTATCAGGTAATGTGACTGTCAATAAATGATGTTATTAATTTTATCAGCACATGAAAATATTAAAATTTTTTTTTTTTGTTAAATTATAAATAAATCTGCATATATATATATATATATATATATATATATATATATATATATATATAATTTATATAATGCTTTATATAATGTTCGTTAATTTTCCAATAATATTCAAATCATCTTCAAATATTCTTTCAAAATCTACAGATTAAGAATACTCTGCTTGATTAATTTTCAGAAATTAACGGATTGTATAACGTTGAAGATTTTTCTCGAGACCGGACACCAGGGCTATAAATTCTTTTAAATTTTCAGAAATATTTGATCCAAAATCCTAGCTTCACTAAATATCTTTTCGTTTTTGTATTAAGGTTCAGCCTTTTCCTAATGTACAGCTAAAAGGTCTGCTCCTCGCACATCGAGCGTTAGTGCATTTTCATCTCGTTTTCCATAAAACACTTGTGCATACTCGGCCGCTTTATCTTGGGACTTTCAAGAATCTATAGAAAAAGTGCTCCTCTCTTTCTCGCTTTCTCTCCACCTTTCTTCTTTATTTCTCTTTCTTTATCACTCCCTTTATTTCTTAGTATATTTCGTCGCGAATTCCCGGATTCCAGAGAACGACGTGATTAAAAAAGACAAACGGCCCAGCACGAGTTGTTGATTTTGGTTAGTACGAAACACGTGGCTTTATATTGCTTTCAACTATTTAGCGCGGGAGTGTTTTGCATCTCCGTTCTCTCATTTCCTATATATTTTCCTTTTCTTTTCTTTTTTGTTTGCATTTAAAGAGGTATGGTATCGGTGGGGAAATAAAAGTATTCGTGCGCAAAATATTTCAGTTAATTTAAATTTTGTCGTAACAAAATTTCCGACTGCACAAAACTAGTAGAAAAAAATTAATTTATTTTAAATGCAAATATAATATATGATTATTATTATTTCGTTACAAATGATTTTAAAGAATTTTAATTTAAAATTTTATTTGTAAATATTCGTCATTTAATTTATGTTACATTGATATTACACAACACTAAAGTTAATATTATCTTCAATATGAAATATTTATTGCATTTAAAAAGTCTGTAGTAATTGAAATATTATTATAATTTTTTGAATAATTGTTTAAATCGTTGCTGTTAATAAGATTACAGAAAATACAACAGTCCAGATTGTGCACAGCATTATTAATTAGAAATAATAATATTAATTTAATACAAATCAATGGCCACATTTTTGACAGTTTTTTAGTTAAAAAATTTAGTTAAGAAGAGAGTTTGGTTTCAAATTGAAATATCTTATGGAAGAATGTAAAATTGGAAGTCCTTTTCAATGTACGTAGACAAGCTATTACTTTTACGTTAATCGAGGTCTGCTTTTGGTACTGTATCTAGTTCAACAAAAATTTGTAACTTTTTTGCTTCATCCATATACGTGCTCAATATATATTATTTAGATATACAAAGAACTTGCAAACACGCATAAAAAAAAAAAAAAAGAAAAAAAAACAAAGAAAAGAAAAGAAAAGAATCTCTTATAATTCCTTCAAAATTATAGATCCAATATTAAATATAATAGAAACTACTAAATGCCAAAAATATTAAGGACTGAATTAAAAATCCGTTTATCATACATACCAATTATATATTGATATTCAATAGTCTAAATGTATCTTTCATGACAGCTACCCGTAATTAATTTACGTAATAATAAATACAAAGCGAATATAGAGTATATGCAGAATTGAACTATGCAGAGATAAAGCTCAGATAAACTGAGATATTAGACCTAATTTAAAGGAATTTCTCTAAATTTGCAATTGATGGTGAATAAGAAAATGGTGGAAGAAATATAGTCGATTACAGCATTAAATACACTAAGTAGTCGAATATTTTTCTAAATATCAATAAATAGCGTGTACATGTATGCTTTCATATTATTTTATGGACTTAATAGGAATGTACAAAATTAAAAATAATTAACTGGGCTACAAATATTTAATTTTTCGTTCATTGTCATTGTATTGGATAATTTAATCCGGACATGTACATATAAGGAGTTTCAATACCGTATAAATATAAATTATTATAGATGTGTAGCTAATGTTAGAATAATTATATAAAATAAACGTAATTGTATATTGTATATAAAATTGAAAGCGATATTACTTATTTATTTGATTTATTACAAGATGGATATTCAACGAATTATCAAAGTTTTTTTAACGTATAAAGCAATAAAAAAACGTATCAGATGCTTTTTAATTTTAAATCAGAATTTATTGTCATAAATATACGGAGCGTATGGAAAGTATATTTACTGATTAAAATTTGATTTCTGATCGATATTATACTGACCATTATATTATCATTCTAAACTATCGTAAAATTAGTTTATATTCTTTTACTTATGCAATACTATGAATATTAAAAATTTTTGTTTTGATAATGTTCTTAGCTACGTATTGTTTGGAAACTATTGATTAAAATTTTAATTATGATAAATTTAATAATAATAAATAATAGTTTGAAATAATGTTAATTAAATATTGATGTTGTCAATTTTGTATTACTTAGGGTCACTTCATACATGTGCATATATAATTTAGGCATTAGAAATTCATAAAATTAAAATAATTTAATTATTTAATTTATCCATAAAATAATAATTTTCAATTTAATATTAAATTGTATAGACTTTATTAAAATATATGCAATTTTATACATTTTTTTTTTTACATTAAAATGAAAATTCTTATAATAATAATTCTTACTAATAATATGCCAAGTATATTTTCGATTTGATATAAACTATTTAAGTATAAGAGTAAAAATATTTTAATATAATCAATTTTTTTTATAATAGAAATTTCATTAAAGCTATGTTGATATAGATATAATATTTTGTAGAAAATAAATAGATTTAATCTAAAAAGTAACATAAAAAATGATTCAAGATAATTATATTTTTAATAAAAAATACTGTCAATATTGTATATATCAGTATTACAATGGAAAAGCTTAAGAGAATCAGAATTTACAGAAATTAAATATATATATATATATATATATAGCTATTACATTAATATTGTTAAAAGTAAGAAATTAATAACAAAATGTTGGCAATTCAGAAATATTCAGTTTATTTAAGTGAATGGTTGTATGTGCAGACATTAATTTTTTACAATTAAAACTTCAGATTTGTGTAAACAAGAAATAATATAAATTATAAGATATAATTAAATATTTAATTTTAAAAAATTAATAAATTAATAAATTAAGTTAAAAATTCTTCAAGTAATTATGATTATTATTAAGACACGGAACCAATTAAGTAACTACAAAATATGT